TATTCACACCCTATGAGCCACATTACGTTCAAATGCCACAAAACCGACAAGTCACCACCAACACGATTCACACCCCTCCTCGTGACAGAGTCACCTTTACCACTCACCAAAACCAGCACATACCCGTGGCACATACCGCTACACATGAGTGATATGTTCCTCCTGTATATGCCATTTCAAAACTGACCTTTATAGTGCCTATCAAGGTCACGATGCCTTATGATATTGACTATTATGCCGAGATGGAAAGAGAAGCTAGGCGTAAGGAGGAAGACTCAGTGTCTGAGCGGTTACAAATTTTGAGAAAGCAAATGAAGAACCTCCAAGTCGCTCGGGAAAGTGAAAGTCTAGACTATAAGGATCTCTGTATTTGTCCAGATTGTGATATGACAGTAGGGTACAAGCCTCCAAAGTTTGATATCTTTGATGGGACAGGGAATCCTCAAGCATGTTTGAGGGCATACTATCATAAGTTAGTTGGAGTGGGAAGAAACAAGAAGCTGAGGACAAAGTTGTTCATATGAAGCCTGAAAAGGGATACCTGGTATACTCGGCAAGATCCGTAAAATTGGAGGACATTGCAGGATATGGCGGAAGTTTTCATGAATCACTTCCGATTTAACACAGAGATCTCTCCCAACAGGTTTGCACTGGTAAACCTGTAGAAGAAGCCGTTTGAGTCATTCCAAGAATATGCATGTCAATGGAGATCAGAAGTTTCCAGGGCACAACCTATGTTGGACGATAGTGAATTGACTAAGTATTTCATCTGGGCCTATGAAGGGATTTACTTTGAGAAAATGATGGCTATGATGGGGTAGGGAATCCCTGAACTGGTCAGAATTGGAGAGTTATTAGAAAATGGTATAATCCGGCAAAGTACAATCTATGGCTGTATTGGAAGAAGATATCAAGGAAATCTAATCAGGGTCAATTGGTAGCGGAAAGACAAAAAAGAAGAAGTATCAGCAGTCATCCCTTATTATCAACTCGGCCCACATCATGGAAACACCTCTTATTCCCCAAACAACCATTCAGCACCACTCGCCTATGTTTCAATATACAACACACAACCATATTACCACCCCTAACCTCAATATAGCCTGTCTCGAACCTATAAAAAATCGAACCCAAAATGACCATATGTTCATATCCAAACCACCACTCATCAAAACCGATCCACTTATGCACCAGGACCTCGCCCAAATTTTGAAGAGAGGGGTCTCATATATTATACACTATTTGCTGAACCTCTGACTCAACTATTTGAATGATTTAGGAGAGCATGTTTTATACATCCAGTGGAAGGAAGGGTTCTCGAGTATCCCTTAAAGTATTTTGGTGCAACCAAAAGGTGCATATACCATTCAAAAGTGCCTGGGTATGATGCTGAAGATTGTTTCAAGCTGGAAAATAAAATTGAAACATTAATCAAAGTGGAGCCATTTAGTGCACTTCAGCTCTGCTCAATGTGAATCACAATCCGCTGCCAAATCACCGGAATCAGCAGTCAAGATGATCACCTTGAATGAATAATAAAATTTGAAAGGAACCATTGTCACGATATGAAATACATAGGCTGAAAGAGTCCCACTTTAAAAGCTCCTATGATCATAGTACAACTGAGACTTAGGGTGATGGTTCAGATATACCAGCGATAACCTGTTGCTGCTACCAGGGACGATAAGGTTCGTGAATACAAAATTGACCCATGGACAAATCAACAAAAGTAAAAAACCAAGTTGACAGATTTGTGGTAGCCCACGGTATGTCTAGATCGGGGAGATGCTATAGTCCTGAGGATGGAAATCGAGGGAATTTGGGAAGAGAGTAGATCCAGAGAATAAATAAAACAGACCCAAAGGCTAAAAAATTCTAGAAGAGAATATCAACCAAAGAATACTCCGTGGAGGAACAACTGATGAAAACTCCAGCACAAATATTAATCATGGATTTACTGATGAGTTCCGATAGTCATAAGGTCTCCATAATAAAAGTGCTAGGTGGCGTAAGTGTGCCAAGAAATAGCACCAGTGATGTGTTGCATCCAACAATTGGGAAAATGGTCGAATCAAATATGATCGCTTTTCGAAGAGATGAGCTTCCTATCGAAGGCGTGGGTCACAACAAAGCTCTACACATCACTATTATATGTGAAGACAAGGTAGTGTACCGAGTACTGGTTGATAGAGGATCAGGAGTCAATATCTGCCCACTCTCTACCCTACGAGAGTTTGGTATCCACCCGAGGGAAGTCGAGGAAAGTCATGTGAGGGTAAGGGCTTTTGATGCATTGTAGAAGGATGTCATTGGAGAAATTTATTTGGCTTTGCAGATCGGACCAGTTGAATTTCCCATACTATTTCAAGTGATGGATATTTCCTCTTCATAAAACTTACTGTTGGGAAGACCCTAGATATACATGGCAGGGGCTGTCCCATCCACCCTGCACTAGTGCATGAAATTCACGCAGGGTTGTCATGAAATCGTGGTCTATGGCGAATAGGGCTAATCAGCTTATCGGGAACATGCAGTCCCGTTCATTTAAGGGATAGACGGAGTTGCTTTCCATGTAGTAGAGATCATGCAGATTACCGAAAGAGGATTGAACAAAACTTGGGAATGCAATTGCTGTATAGGTCAAAGATGGCTATGAGGGAGATGATGAAATATGGATATTGGCCAGGAACTGGGATGAGAGCCCGATCAGATGTGATTGTAGAACTAATTGAGCCAAATGAGAAGAAAGGAAGAGCTGGTGGGTATCAACCTCCGATAGGGTAAACTTGTATCGGTAGCTCTAGGAAAAAGGCTTTTATGCCAGAGCATATTTCGGGTATGGGCCAGAGCTTAGCACCAGAGGATGATATCATGGGATGGGAAGTTTGTTCGTGACTATAATTGCAGAATACTGTGAATGCATTGTTATCAAGACACCGACCATTCAGATATGAACCAGGAGAGAAAGTGCAGAATTGGACCACCAGCCTCTTATTTGTTCTTCGGGAGTCTTGGTAGTGTGGAAATTGTAAAGTTTTTGTAAAAAAATGCACGGTTAATTGAGGCTTGAACCATGCCTGTACCTTTTTGTCATTTTGCCTCTTTAATTGCTTGGACGTTCCTCTTTTGATGAAATAAAAAGAATCGCTTTCTTAAAATGATTGCAACCTTATTGACCACTTCATTTATACTTAATTTTTCTTTTTAGTATTCAAAATGATACAAACGCGTGTTCGATGATTGTGACATATAACGAAACCCTCGAGCAAAATGACCCAGATTACGAGGAATACAACGAGAGTATGATGCCAGACAATCTCCTAAAAGAGATTAAATAGTTGGTAAGCCAGAAATATCCTAACCTTGTAGAAACAGAAGTGGTCAATCTCATAAGCAAGGAAGACATGAAAGAAACCCGAATCAGTATCCATCTAGAAGTAGAGCAGAAGGAAGAACTAGTTGAGCTCCTCCGATAATACATCGATGTGTTTGCATGGTAATATGACAAAATTCCGGGATTAACTACTGATATCATCTCACATCGATTGCCTACTGATCCTGCTAGAATGCCAATCAAGCAAAAACATAGAAAATTCAAGGCTGACCTAAGTTTGAGGATAAAGGAAGTAGTAACCAAGCAGATAGAGGCAAATGTAGTAAGGGTCACCAATTATCTTACATAGTTGGTAAATATCGTCCCAGTCCCAAGAAAGATGGGAAGATCAGGATATGTATGGATTACTGAGATCTCAACAAAGCCAACCCGAAGGATGACTTCCCTTTCCCAAGTATCCATAACCTCATCGACAACTGCGCGAAGCATGAACTCCAGTTGTTCGTGGATTGTTTCGTTGGATATCACCAGATCCTAATACGCAAAGATGATGCAGAAAAGATAGACTTACAACACCTTGTAGAGTTTACCGTTATAGTGTCATGCCATTCGGCCTGAAAAATGCTGGTGCCACTTACATGAGGTCCATGACGACCCTCTTTCACAACATGATTCACAAAGAGATCGAGGTGTATGTGGACAATGTCATCTGGAAGTCTCGAAAAAGTTCTGAATATTTGGATTACTTAAAAAAAATTCGAGCACTTGCGGAAGTACAACTTGAATTAAACCCGGCAAAATACGCGTTCGTGGCCCTTGCTAGAGAATTATTAGGTTTCAATGTAAGCAGAAAAGGGATAGAATTGGATCCATCCAAAATCAAAGCCATTTAAGAGTTGCCACTACCCAAGAGCAAGACAGATGTGATGAGTTTCTTGGTTAGAGTGAATTACATCAGTCGTTTCATAGTCCAACCTATAGTAATTTGTGAACCTATCTTCAAGATGCTGAAAAAGGATGCTACCACAAAGTGGACAGAAGAGTGTCGATAAGCCTTCAACTGAATTAAGGAATATTTGTCAAATGTGGTTTTTTTTAGCCCAGGAAGACGTTGCTACTATATCTATTAGTATTGGATAACACTTTTGGATGTGTGTTGGGATAGCACGACGAAACCGGGAGAAAGAAGCAAACCATCTACTACTTAAGTAAGAAGTTCACACCATGCGAGGTCAAATACACTTTGATAGAGGACACTTGTTGTGCTTTGACTTGGATTGCCTAGATATTAAGGCATTAAATGTCAACGCACACCATACATTTGATATCTCGGCTCGACCCGCTCAAGCATATCTTTCAGAAGTCGATGCCTATCGAAAAGCTAGCTAACTGGAAAATTCTCCTCCACCAATTTAAAGGGACAAGCTTTAGTTGATGACCTTGTAGAGAATCCAATGGATGGGGATTATGTGCCGCTCATTAAGTACTTTCCCGATGAGGAGGTATTGTTCGCTAGAGAAGATATTGCAGAGTCATAACCTAGATGGAGAATAATTTTTGACGGAGCAGTGAATTTCAGAGGAGTAGGAATTGAGGCAGTCCTAATTTCGGAATCAGACAGCCGTATCCAGCATCAACAAAGATAAGATTCCCTTGCACAAATAATATGGCTGAGTACGAAGCGTGCATCCTTGGGATCAAGATGGCAGTCAACATGAATATAAAAGAACTATTAGTCATAGTGGATTCTGATATATTGATAAATCAAGTCCAATGGGAGTGGTCTACCAAAAATGTCAAGATCCTTACGTACCTGTACTATGTAAAAGAGTTATTCAAGAGGTTCATGAAGATTGAATTCAAGCATGTTCCCAAGATCTGGAACGAGTTTGCTGATGCTCTTGCAACCTTATCATCTATGATTCAGCATCTAGATAATAATTATATCGACCCTATCGAGGTAGAGATCAGGGGTCAATATGCGTACAATTTTCATGTAGAAGATCCATACGGTAAACCATGGTACCACGACATCAGAAGATTCGTAAAAATAAGAGAATACCCGGAGAATGCTACTAATAGTCAGAAGAGAGCACTTAGGAGGTTGGCAAATCATTCTTTCCATAACAGGGAAGTCATGTTCCAGAGGACCCAAGACTTGGGTTTGTTGAGATGTGTGGATGCCGATGAAGCAACCAAATTATTGGAAGAAATACATACAGGAATGTGCGGAGCCCTCATGACCGGTTTCACATTAGCCAAGAAGATCTTGAGAGCCGGATACTTTTGGATGACCGTGGAAAGTGATAGTATCCGCAACACGCAGAAGTGTCACCAGTGCTAGATCCACGTGGATTTTATCTGTGTTGGTAGCCATTGATTACTTTACTAAATAGGTCGAAGCATCTACCTACAAGGCTGTCACAAAGAAGGTAGTGGCGGATTTCATCCGAAATAACATCATTTGTTTATTTGGGATACATGAGTCAATCATCACTGACAACGTAGCTAACCTCAACTGTGATCTCATGAGGAGAATCTGCTAGACGTATAGAATTTTCCATCGCAACTCCACGGCCTACATACCACAAGTGAATGAAGTAGTTGAGGAAGATAACAAGAATATTAAGAGAATTCTGCAAAAGATAGTGGATAATCACAAACAATGGTTGGAGAAGCTATCCTCTACCTTACTAGGTTATTGGACCACCATGAGAACATCCACTGGGGCGCCGCCATATATGCTAGTATATGGCAACGAAGCTGTAAAACCCGCAGAGGTCAAGATACTATCCTTAAGAGTCATCCAAGAGGCTAAGTTAGACGAAGCAGGAGCAACTCTTGTTCATTGACAAAGAGATAATGGATGCAGTATGCCATGGTTAGCTATATCAGAATAGGATGGCCAATAAATTTATCAGAAGGGTGAAGCCTTGCCAGTTTACATTGGGCCAATTCGTTCTGAAGAAAATCTTCCCCCACCAGGAAGAAGCCAAAGGAAAGTTTGCACTAAATTGGCATGATCCTTACGTGGTTCACCAAGTATTGTCGGGTTGAACTCTAATCTTGGTAGAAATGGATGGAAGAGTCAGTACGAAGACCATTAACTCAGATGTAATCAAGAGATACTGTAGGCATGTGATTTTTGACCCTCCCCAAGATTTTTCGTATTTTAGCACGTAAATATTTAATTTAGGCCTAATATCGCTATTTCAACTAATTTTGACTCTTTAACTTTATTTTATTACATGAAAATGAAAATTACAAAAAACATAGTTTCATTAATGTTTTGTAGTCATTTTTAATCTTGAAAAAAATACCCAAAACAGTTTTGTTTTAAAAGTCAGTCTTATTTTAATAGTTATTTTACTTAAGTAGGATTAGTTAATAAATGGTCGTATTTTTAGTCTCGTTTGCGGAGAATGAATAACATTTGGGTTCAAACAACCCATTTGAAGCCTAATTTTCGTACCTAGCCCATAATTCCCAAGCCCATAATTCCTAGGCCCATACCCCCTAACCTAAAAAACCCTATAAAACAAACTAGACCGTAGACCTAGACCCCTAGACCTAATGCCAAAAAGCTAACACTCAAAAGATCCGCCATTTGTCTTTTTAAAAAATCAAAGAAAAACCAAAAAATGAAGAACCTATCTTCTAAAAAATGAAAATCAGCTGCTAGACCTAGGGACTTTAGCTGACAGCTGCAAATCACACAAGGACCCCCACCCCCACGTCGATCTTCTCCATTTAAACCAACCGCCATTCTTTTTCATGAGAGGATATACAACCTAAAGCTCTCCCCTCCATCTCCAGCATCCAACGACACCCATCCTCTTCACCACCAAACCAGCCGCCAACCACCATCTGATCCTAACTCGTCCCAAAATCACGCACAATCAGATTTTGTAAAAGCTCCATCAACTCCTTTTAAAACAATTGGATTCATAGCAGGAAATTTATATATATATGTATATATCAGTGATGAATGAACTCCTTTTTTCCTTTGCATTTCCCACTTAAATGATTCTTTACACTCTAAGTTAAAGATAGAACTTAAGAGAGAAAATTGATCAGTTGAACATTAATAGCAAGCTGGAAACTGAAGAGCTTAGTGTGTATAGTATTCTCAATATAAAACTCCTTCGGATAAATAGAAGTCATTTAGAATAAGAAGGCAAGAGTGTAGTCGGATCCGATGTTCGGAGTTTAGTGTGATTGAGGTCGTTTTGGTTTCGAGCTTCCGGTGCCGATTCGAGTTTCCATTCGCGATTCCGGCACCTATGTTTCCAAGTCGCTGTATAATTAAACTTCAGGTTCATTGAGGTCAATTTATCATTTCCTTCTACTTCCGGTTTGCTTAACATCATGCTTTTATATTTGTTAATCTACCGTTACTCTGTTTTTGAATGTCATTTTGTTGCAGCTGTTTAGTTTAATATGTTTGGATGGGTCTTGATAGTTAAAGTGACCTTTGATTCCATATCTAATTATATTATTAATAGACAATTGTTTAGACATCTGCTCGTGTTTATTCGAATTGGTTATAGCTGAACATTTTTTTGTCACAATATGGAAATTAGGTTGCTATTCATCAACTGAACTACGTCAAATTAGATTAAAGGGGCCCGGGTGTGCATTTCATGTGACCCGACTTTAATTCCCAATAATGTTAAATAGAACGCGTCGTGAACTGCGGGTGCATTTCATGTAGCGTGGCTTACGATGTGTTTTAAATAACCTTGAATTTTCCCGAAATATTAAAAGCGGATAAAAATTAAAAAATGCACAATAGGTTTAAAACGTATAAAAAATCAGATAATTAGGCCAATAATAATAGTTGAGTGACCGTGCTAAAACCGCGGAACTCGAAAATGCCTAACACCTTCTCCCGGATTAATAGAATTCCTTACTCGGATTTCTGTGTTCGCAGACCATAAAACGGAGTCAATCTTTCCTCGACTCGGGATTTAAACTGGTGACTTGGGACAACATAAATTATCCTAAGTGGCGACTCTAATTTTAATAAATAATCCCGTTTCGATTGTAACTTAAATTAGAAAAAACTCCCTTATACCCCTTCCGAGGGTAGGTAAAAAGGAGTTGTGACAGCTCTGGCGACTCTGCTGGGGAAAAGAACCCAGAACTTCTGGTTCAGGGTTCAGAATTTGAGCTTAGAATATCTGTTATAGTTGGCTTTATTTATTATTTGATTTTTACGTGTTTGAGCCTAATGTGCTAAATGTTACTTTATCGCTTTGATATTGTTTGAACTGTATATAAATTGTTATGAAACCCTCCTCTCTCTGAGTCTTCTAAATCGTCTGGGAAGTGTGCACTTCATGCGACTTCTTTTCTGTTAGAGTCATATCCCAATTTTAGAATGACGTCCGGACAAGTTGCAATGCCGGTGAAGCTTCTGTATTCCTGGTACGCTGCCCCCCTCGGCTTGAGTTGTCCGCTTGCATAAGCCAGGTCTAGAATAAATAAACCCAGGTTTTTAAACCTAGAATAACATAGTCTCATGTTGGATCCCTAGTAAGAACGCTTGTTTGCATCACGTGCATCAGACTTTGGGGACTCAACGTAGGGGTTGGGTTCGTCTAGGACAGGAGTACCCAAAAAATAAAAGACCATCTTGATGCATCCTATATGTTACATGATGCATTTCTTCAAGGGTAAAAGGGTCATTTGGTGGACCAATAATAGTTGAGGGCAAATGAAAAAGAAAAAAAAGGGGTGAAGTGTGAAAATAAGGCAAGTAGGGCCCAACTATATTTTCTTTCACATTTTTGTTAAGAAAAAGAAGAAAAACTTGAAAAATTAAAAAAAAAAAAGATTTTGCAGTTTTTTGATCAATTTCCGAAAATCAAAAAAAGGAAAAGAAAATCCAAAAGAGTTTACATGTTTCATCATTTTTCAAAAAAAAAGAAGACAAAAAACATATTTTCTTTAAATTAGTTGTTTTTTTATTCTCGCCCTTATCCAATCTTCCCGAACTACGCATACCTGATTCTCATCTTTCGGGGTGTAATACGTAGGCAACCCACATAGGGTCCGGTATTCCTAGTGGGTCTTAGGTTCTTGGCTTCGCGGGGTCTTAGCCGAATCTTGCATTTTTAGCCACTTTTAGCCACATAGGTTAATTTTAGAAAAATAGTCAATCATGTCTTGCATGTGTCCAACAGGAAGAGTTATTGTCTCACATAGCGTTCTAGGTCTTTAACTTTATGTGGTCTTAATTTTATCATGCAGGTGGATCTACTTACCGATGTTTGGGCATGAAAGACGCCTTAGGACCATCCAGTTAGGATCACTCATTCAGGAGTTTGCTTGAGGAGATTTTCTTTATGTTTTTAGTCTGTTGTTCTTTTTATATCATCTTTTACCTTTTAATTTTGTACAGTTATGTCGAGTCTTTTAGGTAATGTTAGAGTCTGTCATAGTATATTTAAGTTTGCCGAGTCTTTTGTTATTGTATTACTTATTTTGTATTTGAAAAATGTGTTATAAATCAAAAATCCAAAAAAAGAAGAGATTTTGCGTTTTATATTTCCGTTAGAAGTTTCTTTAGAAATACTACTCCTAGAAATTTAAAAAAAAATAATTGAGGTAGTTTTTTCTTTAGGCAATTAATATCTAGATCTTAAAAAAAATTATTGTTATATTTCCTTTTAGTACATTAAGACTAAAAATTCAAAAAAAAAGAGAATTTTCTTTTAGTACCTCTTTAAAAGTTTTCTTTAAGATTTTAGTTCCAAAAATCCAAAAAACAATTCTTTTGAGGTTCTTCTTTGGGAAATTAACAAAAAATGAAAAACAAATTATTTTTATTTCTACTAGAGTTTTAGGATATTGTACATAGAAGAAAAAAAGGTACTTTATCTTCGGTTTATTTTAATAATTTCTCCCTTAGGTAATCAAATTAAAATCCAAAAATATTTTTTTATCTTGTTCATTTCCTGTTTCGAGATCTTTCCTTAGGATATCAAACGAAAATTAAAAATATTTTCTTTGGTTTATTCTTTAGATTTTCTTCCTAAAAAAAGAATCAAAAAAATATTTTTCTCTTCTAGAATTTTATTCTTAATAATTTCCCATAGAGTATTTGTGTCAAAAAAATATATGCCTTTTTAAGCTTGAGTTTAAAATAAGTTATAGAACATTAAGTCTAGAAAATTCAAAAAAAAAGGATCTACTTCTTTTATTTCTCTATTCTCATCGAAGTAGTCATTAAGGTAAAAAAAGAAAAAAAGAAAAAGAGAACGTTAGTTTGTTTACTTTATTCCCGATCTTCCCGAACTACGCAAAGATCTGATTCATGCGGCGTCATGATACGTAGGC